CCACATTGTCAGGGGGGGGGGGGGGGGTGTAGGGGGATGAGGGGAGTGAAACCTTAACCTAACAACTGACTATTTACTTACTTTTATACCAGTAATACACATATAAACAAAGGATGATTGCGCATACAGCAAACTAGGTAGTGGAATAAGCAACATCTTGGGTTATTACGTTTGTGCAGTGTTTGCTTTGGTAAAAACATTGTGTTTGTCATTCAGAAAGTTCTTGTTTTATTAATAATAAAAGTGGAATTTGGTCAACTGCTGCGTCCTCCGTCATGATTTACTGCATCAGAGTAGGAGGTTAACACACTGAATGCCTGACTCAGAGTCCTGTTGCCCTGGAGACTGAGGGGGATCCCGTCCCGAGATCATTTCTATACAAACAATGAAGGAAAATGAGACATTAGTATTCATGGTTGAGGACAATATTCAAAACATGTCTTCCTTTATAACATACAGCCCACAGGAATGTTAGAATGCAGCTATTTGGGGTTCATTATAAAAATGATTTTGTTAAAATGTGTGTTTTTTTAAAGTTGTTTCTCAGTACTTTGCTGCCATGCTCTTTAATGTTATGACACTAATGTACTGTATCTTCACATCTTAATTTTGCCGATTAAACAATCTGTGAGCCAAATATAGAAAAAGCGAAATAAATTAGCTATAACTGAAATTTGCAAGGGTCATGTATGTTTTAAAAAGAACACGTTTTAGAAGCAACAATATCAAAAATTAGAAATTATCATTAGTTGTTTTTGTACATTCACTCATCGTATACTTTAAAAGACCTGTTACCAGGCGGTGTTTCAAAGGAGGACACGATAATGTAATCACAAGTAAATCAAAATGGTTGGAAAACTACAACATCAGTTTTTAACAAATGTCAAATCCTTCCCTTGAAGCAATGTTTCCGTGACAACCCTGAAGCGACTCCACGTGTGCGCGCACCTCAGAATGTCTCGCGTACGCGCTCGAAGTCGACACGGAGTGTAAAGATGGTGGCCAGCGTCAGAGTACAGAAGCTGCTCCGACGCTACAAGCTGGCCATAGCCGCCGCGCTGACCATTCTTCTGATCCAAGGGCTGGTTGTATGGAGTCTGAGAAGTCTCGAGGAAGGCGAGACTGAGGTAAGACATGGACCCCTGGCGTTTTTAGTGACATGATAGAGGATAATGACAGCACAAAGCGCTTAGCTTAGCCCCGTCTGTGTGTTATGATACTGTGGAAAGGAAAGGAAGCTAAGTTAGCAGCTGAGGGAAGTAAGGAAGGAGGGGGGCGCTAGTCCTGAACATTTCATTCAGTCTGGCTGCCTCTCATTTAAAAGCCGAATATTGCCCACATAAAGTCATCCGTTCAAGTAATGTTTTTAACGTTGTGTGTAATTTAATTTAATTTGTCATAGTGTTGTGAAGGTCTTGAAACGATGTATGTATAAAGGCAGTCCCATTTTCTATTTCCACTTTTAAAAGTTTAGAAGTAAGCACCTGGACCTTAATTATTGTTTCCACTATTTCGAAACAACACATTCAAGCGTTTACAGAAAGGAAAACTTTAATCTTACAGATTGTATGAATAGGACCTCACTAATGGAACACTGTCAGTAAGTGATTCTTTTAAACAAACAGTAAGTCATTGTGAGCTGGATTATGTTAACACAACTGTGCAAAAAAAAAAACACTGTTTACTGTGTTGTGTGGAAATTACTTTTTGTAGTGTCTGGTCTTAATGGAACAACATCAAATCAATACACTGTTGGATATTTATTGCTGTGCTGTGATAACAGCATAGCTCCTAAGAGCCGGTTGAGTCCACTCTGTCTGTAGTAAGAAAGATGCACTCTGCTTTCCTGAGACTCATAGACTGTGTATAAGAACTGGACAGAGGCGTCAGCAGCCAGCAGTGCACCATTAAAGTGCTTTAATGAACAGGAGAGTAACCCAGTTTGCGCTCCTTAGAAACTACACTCATCCTAACTCAATTTATAACTTCATTTTTTAACATTTTTCTAATGATTTTTTGGTTTAAATCCTTGTATTTTTTTAATGCTATCTGAGCAGTCAAGGCTTACAATACATATACAGAAAAAATAATGCCCTGGGGTTATTGGAAATATGTTTAGTTAAAATTTTTAAAATCCAGAAAAACTTACCCCTTACACCCAAAGACTTATTCTGTCTTTTTTTTCTAGGAATTTATTTCTAACAGTGCCATTCTGCAATGTTAGCTCTGTCTCTTTCTGAAATGCAATCTAGGTTACAAGGCATTTTGTCATTGGATTAGCGGTTAATCTAATTGTATAATAACAAAGTAATTCAACAACAGCTAGCTGTGTTTTGAGCCCACACACTACAAATATTAACACCAAGTGTAAAAATTGGGACAGAGGCAGGGATTTAGAGGGGGTGTTCTGTGGGATTGAGGACAAATAATTTTGCATTCTATTTCCTGTCTTGTCTGTCTGGTTTCAAAATAGAAAAACCAGCTGACTTAAAGAGTACAAACCTTCTGCTTCCTGCTTGATCACACAGAAAACAAGCTTGTTCACGGTGTGATGTTCTCAGCTAACCAGCTAACTAGCTTTATTTACATACCACACAAACTATCAACTTTAACCTGAGCTTACTTTTTTCTGTGATACTCCTGGGCACCTGTGAACAGTGACCTGTGCTGGACTGTTCATCTGACCCATTTACTGAACTGGAGTCAGGGTTTCTTTTTCTCTCTTGAGTTCCAAGAGTGAAAATGCCACAGAAGGGCAAGCTGAAACCTGAATTGGGAAGCGTGCTATCTCTGTCACCTGGAGACAAGTGTGGATAGTGTATAATATTCTATTAGAGGGGAAATTGTAGCTGTGATGGAAGGAAAGCTGGATTACAGGGGAAACCTTTTGACCTCCCCGCCCACTTCACTGAATGGATGATAATGATGGGCTGTGATTCTGTGCTTTTTCCTGACCATTAGCTGTGAACTACTTTAAATTGAGATGTACAGTAAGCTACTCAGTAAAGCACAAGGCCAATTCTCATCTTCCTGCTTCCGTGTTTCTCTGCATTACACCAGCTTGAATGAAGCAATCAATTTCCTTTCTGCACACTTAAAAACACCAGATTGGGGACACTTTAGGAAATGTGGCTCCATCATATTATAGAAATTATGTTTGGTTTTTTCTTCCCTCTCGTCTGCTGTATGTGCTCTTAATGCCTACACACTCTCTGCTGCTTCGTCAGGTGCAGGCTTGAACATGCTTTGGCCAAGATACAGTAAAAATAGTGTGTACTTCCTGTAGGACTGTTAAGATGCTGCGTTCATTTGAAATCTCTGTCCAGTTCTTTATACATTCATGTGAAGCACTGCACTGTGCGTCACTTAGTATTCTGTGGCACAAACGGAAGCAAAAATTTCTATTTAATTTGAATATTTGGCAGTTGTTTAAAAATACTATGTACTTCTGAGGTGCTTCATATCATGTTTTCTTGTTACTTGTTCTTGGCAGCAAACTAATCCTGACTCAGATTTAATTTCTAATAGACGTGTGAACCGTGCCTCATCTTTTTGATGTGTTTGACGGGTTAATTGGATTCATTCTTTCAGGGACAATAACTTCATGTGACAGTCAAACTTTTGTTATGCCTTAACCGTAACAGTCAAACTTTTGTTATGCCTTAACCACATCCACCTTACTGAAATAAATGACATGTGATTTTCAGAATTAAGTGATAAGATCATAGAGGTTAGGAGAACATTTTCTCTTAGGAAGTGGCTCTTCCCTCCAGGCTTGTGTGTTTGTTCTCCTTCTGATCATTTGTATTTTAAAAGACTCATTCTGTCAGTCTCAAGATGCTTTTTAAGAATAGAAAAAGAATCCTATCTAATTCTCATCCTCCCTCTCTGTCTCTCTCTCCTCAGAAGAAAACACGGCGGTCTAAACTGCCAGACCACAACAACCAAGACCCCAAAAGAGACAATGCACAATGGGAGAAACAGAACTCCTTGTCAGGAAAGAACAGAGGAAGATGGAGCGCAAGGTTGGAGAGAGCCGGAGGAACAGCGCCCAGTTCACCCAGGAGAGGCACCAGTCGAAGAGGAGGAAAACCCAATATCAGGATCAAATCTGCACAGGAGCGGGGGATGACGGGGGCTGGAATGGACGGGGTCCTCTCCCATGACTTATCCAGCAGCCGCAACTTCAGCGAGACCCGAGGAGGCGCAGAGGGTGGGGCTAGGCTTCCTGCTGCTGCTGCTGCTCCTCCACCAGGGGAAACGGGCAGTGTGGACGGTGCACATCAATCATCCAGCAGTGACTTTGTGCCTAAATGTGATATCACTGGCAAGGACGCTCTGTCCGCCCTCCATCGAGCTGGGTCGCAGCAGTGTCGTCAGGAGATCGCCAACATAGTGTGTCGGCATCAGGCTGGTCAGCTCATGCCTCAAGTCCTTCCTCAGTTCTGCCCTCAAACTGGTAAAAAAAAACTCTTCATACAGATTTAAATATGTTTTCAAAGTACAAAAGTGTTATTGATTGGTCAACATTTTCATAAAGTAAAACAACCAAACTTTTTACACCGCCTCCAAAAATATATTCCTCTCCAAGTACCACCAGTTTGGCCAACCGTAGACGACAGCATCCTGCCATGTTCATCTCAGTTATTGAAGTATACCAAGATGTTAATTTATTCCTAATCAGATAATTAGATTTTTTTTTAAATGTTGGGCCCGTGCTTCAGCAGTACACTCTACCCACTCCTATGACTTGGCAGTACATTTCACTAAACACACTTGGCAGCACCGATGTGTGGGCAGCTTGTTAGAGGGAAACTAAAAATACACAAAGACACAAAGATGAAATTTAAATTCTTTCTCCACTCCTATCCAGTCAAAACCCTGTTATTAGCTTGCCCACTGGAGTCTATTTTAAATCTCAGAACAAAGTCTTTTTCAACACTCACACTCACTCACAAGTTATTATGTTTTCCCTCACATCCAGTCTGGGCTTTAATGAGCTGTGTATTTCACCGTGCTCTCTGTTCAGATCTGTCAAACCCTGTTCTGGCTGTTGATGATGTGGACATGGGTCTGTCCAAAGTGGACAACCCCGTCAGGGTGGCCTTTGTCCTGATGGTCCATGGCCGAGCCATGCGGCAGCTGAAGCGTCTCATCAAAGCCATTTACCACCGTGACCACTACTACTACATCCACGTAGACAAGGTAGGAACAGTTCATTCATTATTTGGTATCAAAAAAAATCTGCTAATGTCTACTGTACAGAGCCTCAATCAGTCATTGCTTGTCACCGGCTGCGCTTCACTCACTGATGCCTCTGCCAGTGAAGTCCTGTGGTGTTAGGAGGGTTAAATACGTCCCATGTGCTTTGCCGTATAGTAAAGGGGATTAGCCTGGATACAGAGAAGTGTGGTTATTCTTAGAGGCTGGATTTAGCGGAGGAATATTCTGCAGCTGGAAGGCAAGAGAACAAGCGTATGGCTGCTGTTGGAAGAGTCAAGTCCAAAGACGAATAACTGTATAAAAGGGTGGAGTCTGACCCGTGGAGTCGTCCTGTTCCGTCGTTAAAAATAAATCTGCACTTATTTGGTTAATGAGGTTAACAAATGAGGTCCAGAGCCAATCAGAGCTGTGTTTGGCGGCTAGAGGGCGTGACATCTAATCTGAAATCCATCGTAGTTCACTGAGTAAAACTAAACTGAAAATAGAACTGTTTTATGGACATAATTGGCACAAAAACCAATTTACAAATTAGACAAAAGGCTAAACCGAACTTGACTGTAAAATTTCTACTGCTGCAATTGTTTTCTTTTTTTTTATTGCACTTTTTGTGTGTAGGTTCAGATCTTTCATGTTTTTATCTACAACTCATGCTAGACAACTAATGCTTTCAGAGTAGTACTAGTGAGAAGGTTCAGATCTTTCATGTTTTTATCTACAACTCATGCTAGACAACTAATGCTTTCAGAGTAGTACTAGTGAGACAGGAGAGGTTTAAAGTACTGCTGCTCACTATCCCCCAAGTGTAACAGTAATTCTAATTGTCTCTATAATACCATTTTCTATAGGGCTGGTCTCCTTTTCTCAACATAATCAGGTCACCCACATATCCATGATAAATCTGTAGACAGTCTGTGAAGCACTTCAGCACTTCTTTAAATAAAATCTCCATGTATCGTCTGAGCCTAACCTGCTGGTGAACCTATAAAAGCTGTGTAGAAAAAACAGGACAAATGATTTAGTTTAACTGTAAATGAATATTCAAACAGTGTCGGAGCAAGTTTTTGCTCTTTTTTTATTTTATTTTTTATTCCTAGCTAAATGGTTAGAAGAACAGTACATCCAGCTCGGTTCCAGTTCTCAGCTTCTCCTGTGTCTGTTCTGACTGAGTGACCAGTGAGATCAGCGGCGAAGACTCCTCGGCTACACATAGTGACGCTATTGTAACCACTTTTGTTTTTGTGTGTGTGTGTGTGTCAAAATTGCAGAGGTCGGGCTACATGTATCGAGAGGTCCTGCAGATTGCCCAACAGTTCCCAAATGTGAGAGCTACACCCTGGAGGATGGTGACCATCTGGGGCGGTGCCAGCCTGCTGAAGGCCTACCTGCGCAGCATGCAGGACCTGCTCTCCATGCTGGACTGGAAATGGGATTTTTTCATCAATCTCAGCGCCACAGACTTTCCCACCAGGTTGGTCAGCCTTGAACTGAAGATTCAGAAAAACGCCAGGATACCAAACACATACTGTAACGGGGAGGGGAGGGCTGGGGCGGGGGTGAACTTGCTCCAGGTAAAACTGAAGCTGGAATGTATGTCAATATGGGATTAGACATGCATTTGAAGCGCAGGTTTAAACAAATTACTGGAATGTGTGTGAAGCTTTCAGTGAAGGCAGAAAAGAAAAAGAAATTATGGAAATGCCTTCAAGTTTTAAATTATGTGTCATTCAAGGACCTCCAGGCCCAACAATTTAATTAACAATCCTGTCTCGTTTGTTTTGGAATTCCTTGATTTGGATTAGAAAAAAAACAGACTTGCATTCTTTTCACTCCTGACTGTACCTCTGTCCTGCAGAACCAACGATGAACTGGTGGCGTTCCTGTCAAAGCACAGAGATAAGAACTTCCTCAAGTCACATGGAAGAGAGAATGCCAGGTGAGAATGAATGTTTCAAACACCGCAGGTCTGAAGATTCAATTCAGTTAGAACAATAACATTCTCTTTATCTTCCACCTTTTAAGGTTCATTAAGAAACAGGGCCTTGACCGTCTCTTCCACGAATGTGACAACCACATGTGGCGTCTCGGAGAGCGCAGTATCCCCGAGGGCCTAGAAGTCTCCGGCGGCTCCGATTGGTTTGCGCTCACCCACCGTTTTGTGGAATATGTCATCAACTCCCAGGATGATCTGGTGTCGGGGCTGAAGCAGTTCTATTCTTACGCTCTGCTCCCCGCTGAGGTAAGCCTGCCGCGGGTGGTCCGTTTATCTCCTGCCGGTGCAGGAGGAGATGTTCTGATACACAAGTCTGTCTGAGGCTTGTTCTCTGCTGTCGGGTCAGAAGAACCTAGCAGCTGAGATAATGTAATTCTTTGAGCTTTGAAGCACAGTGTGCTGCAGTGGAGCGAGACGAGAGGGGAGTTTATTAGCGTTTATCTGACTGTGCGGTTCAAAGGCTCCGTGGGTAGTTGGCTGGAGCTGCACCGGCATGACCTTTTAAAATGTACCATCGGTGGATTAGAATGTGCTCAACCACCTCTTCGACTCCACCTTCAGCTCCTGTGCTTTACTGTACCCTGATCAACTGCGGACATGTGTCATTCACTCTCGTCCTCCTGTCCCCTCCCCAGTCTTTTTTCCACACGGTGCTGGGGAACAGTCACATGTGTGACTCCCTGGTGGACAACAACCTGCGTGTCACTAACTGGAACCGTAAGCTGGGCTGTAAGTGTCAGTACAAGCACATCGTTGACTGGTGCGGTTGTTCTCCTAATGACTTCAAACCACAAGACCTCATCAGGATTCAGGTAATTGAGCCTGTGGTCAAATAAAAACTAATTCAGCCACTAGGTTATTGATGACAGTTAAAGCTAAGTCAGTGTTTCATGTCATCTACAGCAACTGTCCCGTCCAACGTTCTTTGCCCGTAAATTTGAGTCATCAGTGAACCAGGAGGCCATAGATATTCTGGACACTCACCTGTACGGTCAGTATGCTCCAGGCACCGTGGCCATCAAAGCCTACTGGGAAAGTCTCTTTGAGCAGCTGGACGGCGTGGGGTCACTCAGTGACGTCGCTCTCACTGCCTACTCTTCCTTCTCCCGCCTTGGTCTGAAGAGCCTGGTCACTGCACAGAACAACCTAGAGGCCTGCAGGTAAACAAGCTGTTTCCTTATCACAGTCATTTTTTTTAAATCACAAATTTCTGTTAACCACACAAACATTTTGAACGCCAGCACCAATATATGAAATATAATCAGGAATTTTCTCACTACAGGTTTGAACCAGTCGGACACCCTGTGTCCGTACACGTGTATTTCTATGATGACCACTTCCAAGGCTACCTGGTGCGTCAGGAAGTGCAGGCTGTGGGGTCAAAAGTCAGAGAGACCCTGGAGATGTGGGCGGTGCCTCAGACCTCTTTTGTGCTCGGGAAGAACCTGAAAGAGTTTGAAAGACTGAAGAATCTAGAAGTAGGTGAAAGTTTGCTGATGAAAGGGGTTTTTTTATTGAAATTTTCATTAATAATTTTCAGACATTTAGTTCTGCAGCTAAACACAAAGACTAAAGAAGTTGTCTCCCTGATTATGACGTCATACCTTTTGTCTCTCTCACTGTCAGATCGGCACAGAGTGGGATCCTAAGGAAAGAATTTTCCGTAACTTTGGTGGAGTGATCGGTCCCCTGGATGAACCACTGGCCGTGCAGAAGTGGGCTCGTGGTCCCAACCTCACGGCCACCATCGTGTGGATCGATCCTGGTCTGGTGGTGGCGGCGTCGTACGACATCACCGTGGATGTTGACGCAGAGTACACCCAGTACAAACCACCTCTACAGCACCCACTGCGGCCCGGAACCTGGACCATAAGGGTGTTGAAGCAATGGGAGCGTGTGGCGGAGGTTCGATTTCTGGTCATGCCACTGACATTCAGAGATAAGGAGCCGTTACGCAAAGGTGAGTCGCAGATGTAGATCACTGGGCTAAAAGGTCAAGATCTAAACGGTCGCCAGAGAGGGCCATTAGTGCCACCCTTCTTTGGAGACATTTTTTGACATCTTTCTCAAATTCTCTCTTCTGTGAATGTAAATTTCAGGTGAGGACAGCTGGCTGCACGCTGGTCCTCCAGGAAACATGTACCTGGAGCAGAATCTCCAGCAGCTGAGCTCCATGCTGAAGCTTCCTCCGCAGGACTCGGCCATGCAGGAGGCCCACCACAATTCCCAGCTTGTGGGTCAGTCCCTTGAGAAGTGGGTGGACAGCAGTGTGAGGACTTTTTGGGCAATGGGTAAAATGTGTGGGACACAGACTTCCTCCTGCCCATCTCTGGAGCTTTGCTCTAAAACCTCCTGGAGCTCTCTGTCCCCAGACCCCAAATCTGAACTGGGTCCAGTCAAAAGTGACGGGCGGATCAGGTAGCCTTTAGAGAGGGAAGGAGTGTAGACTCTGACTCAAACAGAGGAGAACTAGCTGCACTCTGTGAGAACCTGTGTGAGCTGGATGTTGGCCTTTGGGTTGGCAGGGAGCTCTGGGGCACATGAACATCCATGAGGGGTCTTCCTGTCCCCAGGAGTCAGGATATTCTCAGTAAGGTGGTCCTACAGACTGAAACAAAGATGATATGATTGCTAAATATTTGCACACAGTAGCCCGCGAGCGCAAAAGACGGAGAAAAGTTTAATTTGCCTGAATGATCACATGAATGCCATTTGTTTTTGTTATAATTTTAGCACATGGTTTACAGTCAGGTGGAAACTAAAATAAGATTTTTTTTTTTAAGGAATTCTTTTTAAACTCGTTCGACGACATGCTCCTCACATCGCCGTGCTTCTATCTTCATTTCAAAGGGAGAGTGGAACCTCTGCATCACGTTATTGTGCTTATTTTGAAGCATTACTGTGGACGCTGCAGGATGAAGTGCACTTTACTGTAGGACCGTGAGGTTACAGAGCTGTTACAGTGTGAGGAGCAGGAGTTCAAAGTTCAAAGGTTAGGATTAAGCCCTCATCCTGTCACGATATACTTGCATCTTTGTCACAGACTCATCAGTACTTGTTTAGACTGTAACAAACTTAGTTGAAAATAGGAAAAGAAACAGAGTAGAATTAGGTTTTACATCTTAATGTTCTGTTAACGATGATTTTTTTTTTATGTTGAAATTTGTTTACCGGCTTAGTCAGCAATCAAAGTGCTATACTTCTTCAGTGTCTGCTTTTGCTAAAGATGCCACTCTGTTTTTATAGAAGTGCCTCGTCATCTAAATCCTTCAATTTACTTTAATATGAATTTTCCATGGAATATTTTTTAAACATTTAAGGATGTCATCCTAAATCTGTCATAATACAGATGCCCATGTTCCCCTGGGCTGTTGACAATATTGTTGAACCAAAACCGTTTTTTTAACATGTGATGAATTGTCTTTGGAGACCAGTGATTATCCACTGGATTAAAAAAAAATGAACTGCCCTGAAGAAACAGCTGGGGTAATGGTGCAGTAAAACTTTAATGAGGCTCCATGTTGGTACATTAACTGCTTTACAGCCACATTTTTACCTCAGTTATTATAACTACGGTCCGTGACACAATAATATTTTTTTATAGACTATTGATAATGAACAAGTTAAGATGATCCTGACCCTTGCCCCAGCACTCTATTTTCTCCATGTTTACAAGCAGTTCAATGCACTCAAAAGGTCATTACTGCCACCTTCTGACTTTTGTTTGCCACTGTAAAAAAAAGCCAGACATGTTCCAACTAACTGTAAAGGAGAAAAGAGAAACAGAGGGCAGTGTCGCTGCACACCTTTAGCAGCCGATTAGAAATGACCAGTAGTCCTGAAAGAATTCAAGTGACAAGAATTTGGTTGTTAAATGTTTTAACAGAACATTTGAAAATACCATGACAAATGTGTCAATAGTTTACAGTGACAGTGCTGCTAATTTAGTGTATTTTAATTTTTTTTTTTTATCTGACCTTTTCTAGTTCGACCTGGTTGTATGTCTGGTTTGTCAGTTGTCATGCTAGCTAAGTTGTTACAGTGTTTTACTTTAAGTTAAATCTCACAAGATCTGTGTCATTTCAACTTCATATGGTGAACTACACCTTTAATTTTTATTTTTTATCACAATGGAGAGAATCACAGCTACCTTCACTGAGCTGAAAGAAAAAAACTGCAATTTTTTTTACCTCTAAGTGACTCTCCCTTTTGTTTGTGTTTTCTTTTTACCTCTGGACAAGTGACTCTCCCTTTTGTTTGTGTTTTGGTTTATTTTTTTTCACCTTTCATGTTGTGTTCTTTTACAACGGTTCATCACTGTCTGATTTTTGTTAAGGTGGCCTTGCACAGAACAGCAGCTCAACTGAAGCCCCGGGTTTTTAGAGATAGGAAAGCAAAGCAGAGAGAATTCAGCACATTAGTATATTTTATTTTACCAGGAGATCCCTGTGCCATCTGCCCTCCATCAACTGCTGATTGTGATGTATTTAATTGTGTTTGACAGTCCACATGTTCAGTGTCATTTCCAAGTAGAGCTCCTGTTTTATTTTAACTTGCTTATTTTGGGTTTTTTTTAATTATTATAATTTTTTTGGGAATAGGAGTCTATGGAGAATAATAGATAAAGAGCAGAAATCCAGTTTTCGCTGTGGTTCTTGTCAGAGTGAGGAAATTTAGCCTGTGGATCCACGCGGTTAGAAGAGCTCATAGACTAGACGTCCTGGCTCGTGACTCAATAAAAGGACAGTTAGATAAAGTTTTTGTCATGTCTTATATTTTAAATGTTTATGTCTAAAAACGTCTGGACGTGGTGATGTATGAGAAGCAGATGGAACAAATGTTTATGGCAGTGTCTTGTTAAAAAGCTCAACCTGTTTTTACGGCATAAATACTTTAAGTTACAACCCTTTTTGTGACAACACTTTCATATAATATTAATGAGTTGTGTACATGTTCATCTCTTTGGTTGGATGGTAACCAACGGTCGAGGATAAAAACCAGGAAACAGATGAATCCTGAAATGAGGAAAAGAGGAAAAAGATTTTGTCCTTACAGCAAACTGAGCAGTGGATTCTGGGAAATGTTTGATGCCATGTCGACAGTGGGCTGAGATAAAAAAAGAGGAGGAAACAGAGCTGGAGACGACCTGTTCTTCTGGACCATCTGAGGTGGACACATCAGGTAAATGTCCTGTTTTACACAAACTGCAAAAGTTGGTTGGTATTTTTCAATTTATTTTACCAGCATTTATTTATGTAATAAGATTTTCTGCTTCTTTTGATTTTTTTTGTTTTCTTTTTTCTGAATGTTTGCACCAGAATATACATTTTAAGGCTTTTCTACACATTAAAAAAAACATATTGTAAACTTAAATTGTCAGTAAGTTATATTTGCAATTTATTTATGTGATAAGAAAAACTTAAATTGTCAGTAAGTTATATTTACAATTGCAATTTGTTTTTTTTCTTTAGTAAAATTATTTAATGAAAATATATACAGTTGTATCTTCCACATAGAGTGGAAATACACTTTAATGTAGACCAAAAAAACATTAACATTTGTTAAAAAAAAAAAGAAAACAAAGAACTACAGAAAAGATTCTTCTGACACTTGTAGACAAATTTCCAAAATCAACAACCACTGGATTAGTAAGACTTGTTTTTTTCTTTATCATATTTTAAAGGAAATAACTCAGGGGTTTTATGGTGAATCTACAGACATCACTCCCTTCCTGTCACACACACAGAGAGAGAGTCAGACATTCACCGGTGAGTTTCCGTGTGTTTCCTGCAGATAAACTAACCCTGTGATGATGCTGCCTCTCTCTCCTCCAACAGCTTTAGTCCTCAGAGCGCTCACATGCCAACATGAAGATTTGATGCCAACATGATCCTCACTGTAGGATGGCATGAAATAGTAATACGCTGATTACACTGCTAAACACTGCACAGCTTCCTCTTCACGCAGTGACTCATGCACACAACAGCTCCTCTCTGGTCTTCATCACTGATGCTGTGTTAGTGTTAGTGCTCCTCTCCCTCTAAGCCCCCTCTTACACCCTGCTTGGCAAACACTTATCTCAGAGACTATGTTTCCTCTTCCACAGTGGAACAACTGCATCACATGTAAGATTATGTAAAAACATACACTTCAAAAGGCCAGTCTGTTTAATGAAAGTAATCTGTATTTGCTCTATTTCAAAGATGCTACCACTTGGCATGTGTGCTGTAAAATGTGTGAATCTTCAAGGACAGCTATGCAAACAGTCACATGGGGGTAAAAAAAAATCCTCACTGTAGGATTCCTGTTTTCAATCTGTTCTCCTGCTCAGACTGGTGGTGGAGCTGAATGTGCAGAACTTGGGCATTTCATTGATTACAGCGAACGTATTGTGGTTCTCTGCAGAGAGCTTCATGCTGTTAGTGCTGCACCATATGTGGGCACTTTGAAACTGCAGATAAGAAGAGCTGACTGGGAGAAGGAAAAAGGTAAGAGGAGGAAAGTGCGGAGGAGGATGAGGAGGAGGAGGGGGGTGAAGGATGACATATTTAAAAAATGAAAAGTAAAAATCTGCTGCCAGGAAGCTCCACGCTGGACCCTCCATCCCCTCACCCCTCCACCCACCCCCCCTGGTTCCCAAGAGACGAAGTGCAGGGACAGGGTGGACTGGTGTAGACATGCAGCAGTGTTGCAGATCTGTCCTGAGGAGGCGCCTGGCCAGGAGACCTGATGTAGGAGAAAGATGTCGGAATTAATGAACAATAGAATTAATGTTTTCAGTCCTACTAAAAACTGTCCTTCAAAACATGTCTAACTGTCCTGGGTAATGTCCACGTCCACCCTCAGGTCATGGATGGTGACCTCAGCACCTCTGGACATTTGGGTGTTTTGTTTTCCTGTTTTTGTGAAATATAAGTTTAAACTAAGTCTAAAACCTGCAGAAAGGTTCGAAAACCCATCACCAAACACGAGTCCACGAGGTGTGCCTCAGGTGAGGAGCAAAGGACTCTGGGTAATTGCCCTCAACATTACTCTCTCTTTGACTCCTTGCAGACAATTCTGGTGGGAGACGGTGGCGTGGCAAAGACCTCCCTGCTGGTGCAGTACGACCAGGGCAAGCTCACTTTGGGGTCCTTTGCTTCTACCATCGGCATCGGCTTCACGGTGAGTCCACAACCTGAGTGTGTGTGTGAGTGTGTGCGAGTGTGTGTGAGTGTGTGTTTCCATCAGCTCAGCAGAGTTTGTGTCAGCAGCATGAATCAGTGGGGGAGTTCTCCAGTGAGGGTTAGTGCATCTTCTCACTGTATTCATGGTGATCCTTAACACTATATACGTGTATGTGTGTGTGTGTGTGTGTGTGTGTGTGTTCCTGGTGTAGTTATACTTGTAGGGACCTCATTTTGGAAAGTACTATTGTTGTGGGGACACTGTGTCCATCTGGACGTTTTGCCGGTCACCACTTTTGAGGTCAAAGATTTCGTTTTGAAATTAGGATTAGAATTAGTGTCAGGTTACAGTGAAGGTACGGATTAGGATTAGGATTATGATAGTTAATGTAAGTGACCAGAGAATGCATTATGTCCGTTTGAAGAGTGTGTGTGGGTGTGTGTGTGTGTGTGATACAGAGACATTGTCTTCACCGACGCTGCTGCTGCTATGATTTAATCACAGTACACTCAGCTCCACTAATGACTGTCATGGCAGCAGGCTGTTTGCTGCTGCACGTTCCAAACAAAGCAGCTTTAAATAAGGATGATTTTCTGCTTTGTGACACTCAGGAATGGAAGAGGAGGGGGGAGGGGGGGGGTGTCTTATCCTTTGTGGCAGGCAAAGGAAAATGGAGACAAGTGGAAATGATGTATGGCTCATTTAGAGCAATATTTCCTCTGCTGTGACAGTGACAACTTCAGCTCCGTGTCTCCGCTGCCAGAGAAGCAAAAGAGAGGCACAAGTTTGAGAGGGTAGAAAATCGGCTTTGCTGTTTTGCATCAAGTGCTTTTGCATGAGTGCGTTTGATTTGAGGTTTAAAAAAAAGAAAAAAGAAAACCTAATACGGCAGATGGATTTATTTTAAATTTAGGTTTAAGTCAGCACCTGAAAATGAACTGAGACATTGATGCCTGCCTGCTGTTCATAAGGCAGTCATGATCATGCTCCAGTGACTGTGCTGTTTCAGGAAAACTGGTTTGTTTGTTTTCAGTTGACAGGAATATTTTTGGCTATTTTCAACAAACCTCCTGTTTCAGTCTGAGATGATTTTTTTCCCCCTCTGGCTCATTCTCTGTAGCAGTGGAGGCTGGAAAAGGCAGACACGGTAACATGGCACATGTGTGAGGCTGTGTGTTTGTCACTGACAGCTGATGAAACTGACTCAACCCTGTTGTACGTCTGAAATCCGTCACGTTGCCCGGCCCACAATCAGAGGCGTCTGTTCACAAATAAACGTCTGTCTGACATTAACCCCCCCTCCACTCCGCCCCCGACCCCCGCAGAGGTCTAAATATGAGATTAATTGTCATTTATAGAACACAAATCATCCATAACTGTGTCATTATTAGGCCTGTCAGTCACCTGAGCGGGAACAGGGCACTGACTTGACCACTGGGGGGAGACAAACACTGCAGGAAAAAGATAGGAGTTTTTTTTTTCTTTTTAAACTCAAGTGGTAAATTGAGTATTTGAGATAATATTTTTAAACCTGACATGATGATTAAATAAAGGACCTGGGGGAGGAGTTGAAATATGACATCATCTGTTCTTCACAAGAATAGAACGTTTTGCATAATTAGATTGTGCCCTGCACACAGGACATGCAGTAGGAATTAGTCAAAATGATGCAAAGATGATTCATTCATTCATTCATTCATTTTCTACTGCAAAAAAACAAACAAACAAAACATTTTTCAGGGACATGAGGGGGCATTCATCTGTCATTTTCTTGCTGATTTGAAGCAACAACGTCAGGACGTTGACACGACAGTGACCCAGGGTCATTTACAGCTCGTGACTTTTTCTGCAGCACTTCCTCTTGTTGTAGAAATCTAATGAATGCATCGAGAATCAATCAGATATGTAGTTCAGTCGGCTTCGACTATTTCATCAATAAGATGATAGATTGGTTCTCATGCTGAGGTCTGGGGACCAAAACGTGGGCAGATAATCAGGTGTGATCAGTGGTCATAGCCTGGTCATAGCATGACGTGTTTTAGTGTCTTATCCTAAATGTGTGAGTCTCTGTCTGTAGGAGAGACCTCGCTGATGGAGGACGCCACCTTGTGTCTTGTTGTTGTGCTCAGTTTCATATCAAACCTTTGTCTCTATTTCCTTCCAACAGCTTCTCAGCAGAGTTTGGTTGATTTTCACCCACGAGTCTCAAACACAGCTGTTGTGCTTCTTTTATTGACTCTGTGGTATCATTGGTTAATCATACACCTGACTGCTGATCTTACAAAACCTGCGTCTGTTCGTCGTTGTTACAAAAAAAAAAAAAAAAGAAAGAAAAGAAAAGAAAGAAACTTAAGACTTGGATCCAGGTTTAAGACTCAGACATTATTCTGATGGATGATAAACCGTAAAAAGCGGACATTGTTGAGAACAGTCTGTGCGCCCCTCGTCTCTGACCCCTTCCGTGACCCGTCACCACCTGTGGCAGATGTGCGAGTTCTCAGCCGCGGACGGCGACGTTGGAGGACGGTGAGAGTCTCGCAGAGATAAACAGACATTGATTAGACTGAGTGGTGTTGCAGCCAAGTGTGTTAGTCTGTTGACGTCCACGCACGCACGCACACACACACACACGCGCACTCGCAGCTAATCATCTGCCCACGCCAGGACGCAGCGAAAGCACAGAGATGTTTCCGCCTGTTTGTCACCACAGCTCCTCTGAGTGACTGGCTGTTGCTGGATAAAGACTCACACACGCACGCACGCGCACAGCCACACACACACACTAACAGACTCTAACAGACACGCCTCTGGAAGTTCTTCAACTTCTGGTCTCCGTTTCCGTCTGTGACAGTCTGATTTAAGCTGCTGCTGTTGTTGTTGTTGTCGTTGTTGCTCTTGTTGTTGTTGTTGTTGTTTTGCTCTTCAGTCGCTCCGTCATCGTTTTACCTCCACGTCTGAGCGCAGTTATGCGAGCAGCGCAGCGGAGCTGGAGGCTGGAGGAGACTGGCACCGAGTGACCGGAGGAGATCTTATTCCCACTATCACACACACACACACACACACACTCGTTCACACACACACACACACACCGTGCGTGTGTTTTCTCCCGGACACCAGCAACATCCCTGAGAGCAGACTGAGCTCCGGCGGCTCTGGCACACTTTCCTTGGCGATTGCGATGTCCACAAGAAAGGCATCGTTGACGGACAAGCAGACCAAAAACGGAACGTCAAAATACGTCTTGGAGCGATGCGCTTCTATTAACGAGTACTATGATATTGCCTTCAAGGTGTGTATATTCCTCATGATTTGGGTTTTTTTTTTTTTTTAAATTTTTTGTGGGTTTTGTGGGCTCTCTTGCTCTTATTCTGCGAGGTGGAACAGGTGTTTAGAATCTGCAACAGAAACAAGTGGGTGTACATGCGGCATGGAGCCACAGTACAGAGTCCACATCTGAGTGAATGTGTTCAGGAAACGATCAGCTGATGCGGCTTCATGTGTTAAACAGGTCCGACTCTGACAGACCTTCATCCACCTGCAGCTTTAATCTGCATCACTCCACAGTCTCTCTCTCTCTCTCTCTCTCTCTCTCTCTGAGCCTTTAAATCTCCTCTCAATACTCTGTCCACCCTTTTTTGTTCTGATGTAAATATTTGCTGAGGGTGTAGGAACCTGTTGCTCCCAACACACACCCTGTCATGGAATATTTATAGACGCTGCCCTGGCAAACCTGCAAGCAGTTTCAGAAAGCAAAAGTTGGACTTGACCTTTAATTGGGCTCCGTCTGTGCCATCAATGATTCACTGTCCAACCAGCAGCACCACATGTTGGGTGGATTGTGTAATTGCACATTCTGTTGTTGTAATTATCTTGATGATTATTTAATTTTTTATTTTTTTTTGAAAATGGATGCTGGCTGAAAGGGCAGCATGAGTTGAGTTGGTCACAAACATGTTGATCAGCCTCTCGGTCAGCCCAGGGTTGGCAGCGTGTCACATGACTCCGTCAGCACCAAATGTAGAGCGGCAGCATTTTTCCTCAACACCTTTGTCACATCAAATGAAGGCTTGTTGTGCAGCAGCACCATCAACGGGACGGTCTCGTGTTTCCTCCTGTGAAATCCCCCACATGACTGCAGTATAATTTATGTGGCCCGGCCCTCACTTTATGGGCCCGCCGTGGGAGGAGGGTTCAATCCCGTCTGCATGTTTGTGTAACCTGTTGTCCCTCTCTCTGCCGGTGGCTGTGCTGCAGGTGATGCTGCTCGGAGACTCGGCCGTGGGGAAGACGTGCATCCTGGTGCGCTTTAAAGATGGAGCCTTTCTGGGAGGAAACTTTATAGCCACCGTGGGAATAGACTTTAGGGTGAGACTTGATGCCGTGTTTCTCAAATAGTGGTGTGTGGTTTGGATGTATTTATTCATCGTCTACTGCTCTGTCGTTTTTGGGGGTCTACAAAGAAAAAGTAATACTATAGCTTAAAGTACAAAATCGAGTTTTAATGAATGAAAACACAAAACAATTGAAAATAAATTCAAAAAATAATTACATCAAGGTGAAAATTAAATTGCTATTGACATTTATTTGTGGACCAGATGGGCAGGGTTTGTGGGCCAGAGGTGGCCCCTGGGCCAGGAGTTTGCTACCTGGTTTTGAAAGTGCAGTTTTTGGTCTCCTGACTATTTTATCTACCACTAGAGATTTCCCTATTGTAAGGCAAGGGTGCTAACCACCCTTCCACCGCGTAGCCCTAGGTACGATCTATTATCTAAAATTTCTTTGCTGTTATATTATTATTATATTGTGCATTTTTTGGAAAACAATTCAATTAATTTGAGGAGGCATAATCAATCCCATAATTTTAACTTTACCACTAGAGGTTGCTAAATCCTACACAAGGTACTCTTTAACTGAGCTTTTACTCTAAAGCCTCATTAACATAGGTAAGTAGATACCTCAGGTTCAAATGTCACTGTCCATTTCTGGCCCACGGGCCGTAGTTTGCCCAGCTCTGCTCTAAAATGATTAGAAAACCCTCATTTTTCTAATGCTGAACATTTGAGAAATTCTCACACGTAGACGAACAAACAGCAGCTAATGATGATTTTGATTGTTGCTGCAACACTAAAAAAAAAACCACCGTGCTGTTTCCTGCGCATTGCACCACATCGTGCACCACAAGTGTTTTGCAAGCCCTCTGCATTATTGTTGAAGTCACGTCAGCTTCACACTGACCACGAGGAGAACGAGCTCGCCACTCCCGCTCTGGGTCGTACGGTCATTCTGATGCAACTAATGTACTCGCACTTAGCAGCAGAAAACAAAGTGCTCGTGCCAGCTTGTAACTTCTAATATGAGCCTCTCTTGTTTCATACTATAACCCACTTTTACATTGATGGTTTGGCGAGAAAAAAAAACAAAAACATTTATAATTCTGGTTTTTGCTAATTTAGACTTTAATCAAAATGCCTGCTAGTGGAAAGCAAATGAGAGTGAAAATCTAGACTTAAGTCTTCAGTGTTTGCAAACTGCTGCTGTAATGGTTTACTTTTGTTGCTATTCCTTCTTAGTTGTTAAAAAGCGGTATACAAATCCAGCAAGGTCGCCAGTGTGAGTGACATCTGGCCAATTATCACCTTATTTTCCTCACCGAACACTTCATCACTGTGGGATGATGGCACCAAATGCACAAATCCTCGCACCCAGCAAGTCAAGTTCACAGACCACTTGTGCTGCGAGGCACTGTGGACAGCTTCATAAATGTCACGGCAGATGTCTGCCCACGTCCCCGTCTTCTGGAAAGATTGGCTGCAGCTCAACTAGATCCTGGAGGAGTCACAGTGCTGACACACACACACACACACACACACACACACACACACCTCAGACAGTCACACTGTGTTCTCTCCACTGACGATGAACATCATAATATGCCGTTGAGAATGAATGGTCCGCCTGTCGCTCTTCACCAAGCTTCCAAGCAAAACACTAGCATTAGCAGCGACTCAAGAGGTTTGAAGAGGAAATTTGGTGTCCTGCCGTATAGTCATCTTTACACAGCGGTGCAGACGCACGGCAGAAACAACAGGGTGTTCACTGAGAGGCAGATTCCTTTTCTCTCTGCTGCCATTCATGCTAAGAGCAACAGGTTAGCGCCCATTCATAAAAAACACTTTACAAAGGGAACTGACCCATTTATCCCCGCACTCATTCACGTGCGCGTTTCTGCTGGATTAAATGTCTGCTTGTACAGAACAGAGGACGTCAGTGGGCCTTTTGTCTCCTCACCTCCTGATTAAGGAGGGAAGAAGCTCCTGCACGGCAAAAGAAAAGGATGGAGTCAATGAACTGAGGTTGTCTTCTGCAAACACAGGCAGGAAGGCAGGCTGGCTATTGTGGCAGCCTGCTACGTGGCTGATCTATTTTCGGCATTGCTTCCTTGTAGCAGTTACTCAGCGTGCAGGCTCCTCTCACGTCATAATTGCGGGTGCAGGGGGGGGTGGATGGAAAGCCATGGCAACTAATGCAGGGGTTGAACCATGTCCATTTTGCCAAGGATGCAGAGGATTCAGCAGGTGGCGGCTGCGGCTGCCAGTGATGGCGTTACACATCGCTAAAGTCGCCTTTGTCGCCGTGTTGCTCCATCTGAATTTCCTTTGTCAGTGTTTGTGCTTTCTAACAATAGGCAGGGCCTGTGTTTGTGATTACCTGAAGTTATGGAGAGGCGGAGGAAGTGCTGCATTTGCTGTATTCACACTCCCTCCCTCTCAGACCTGATGTGTCAGGGTAAAAGTTAATTAGCAGGTCATGTAAGAACTTTTCTGTCAAAAAAATAAGACAAAAAACAACTTAAATTTAGGCTCGTAAGCAGTAAAAGCTGGCAGGAAAAATAACTAGAATATATATAGGTAAGTGTACAACAAGTTGCTTAGATTATCTCAAAAATGTCAAGAGATTTCAATTAACTCATGTTGAACCAAGATACCTTTATAACATTTGACAAATTAATCTGAACGTCTTAAACATGCTGTGTTTGCGACTTCACACTCTCAGGTGCGACTTATATATTAGAATATATCATTTCACATGTTTGTTATTTTCACACTGACAGCCCCTAGAGGGCACTGGTGAGTTATACACCAGAGCAACCTATAATCCAGAAAATACGCTAATTAGAAAAGATGCCTGTTAAATAAACTTGTATATTTTTAGTGGCTGTACAAAACCTATCCATGTGAATTTTCCAGCACTTCTCCTAGCTTTACATTTCAGTTTTCTTGTGTTTTGGCTGCAGTACATTTGTTCATATCCCTTCATTTGCAATTCCTTGTTTTTTTCATGTTCTTGAATCCACCAAGTAAAGTTCCCTGTGTCGCCTGCAGCTGTGATCCTCTGACACCAACTGTCGTCTTTTTTCCTCCAAATGGCACTGTGAAAAAATTGCTACACTTTGCCGGCAGTGTAAAGTTGATCAATTATTTATGAGAGAAGCCAGTAAATATGTTCCTGGGTGTTTAATAGAACATTCCAGCACGACTGTAATTTCCACTTTACTTCTAATTATCCTGACTAATGCCATCAGGAAATTCATTGTGTGTAACCGTCACCACGCTTCATCTCTTTCGCTGCGGTTTTACGCCAATATTTTTCACTGGAAATCAGAGGCCACGCAGGGGCTACAGGACATGAACGGTGGAGTCTGTGTTTATGCTGCCAGCTGTCTTTCACACATTTGTGTAATTAAGTCTAATCTCAGGACCTTGTTGTTAGGTAGGCGTTGCAAATTGCTTTTTCTGCCAGCATTCAAAACCACTTTGGGTTGTTCTCTGTTTTTGGCCTCACGCTGCGGCTTTGTGCTCTGCTGAGATGTTTGTCATTCATCCCTGTGCCCAGAGCTTCTCCTCCTGTAGTCTGACTTATCTTTCTTTTCTGTTGCAGAATAAAGTGGTGGATGTGGACAATCTCAAAGTCAAACTCCAGGTAAAAACACTAAAAAAAAAAAAAAAACATGTTTGTGGACGATGGTCAGATCTCCCACATGAACTAGAGTTTATTTATCAAAGTTGTTCTTTTTTATTTGTGCAGATCTGGGATACAGCCGGCCAAGAGAGATTCCGCAGCGTAACGCACGCCTACTACAGAGATGCCCAGGGTGACCTCCTCTTTTATATTTCACTTTTTTTGTGTGTGGGTGTGTGTGTGGGTGTGTGTGTGGTCTGCTCACGGTGAAGGTTGTATTTAACAGATCAGCCTCTGTCAGAGGTTTGTCGTTGTGTTTTAAAGCCTGATGAGGGTCAAAGAAACGTGAGCTGAACAGATCTTGTGTTTTGTTTTGACAGCGTTGCTTCTGCTCTACGATATCACCAGCAAGCAGTCATTCGACAACATACGGGTAAGACTTTCACTTCCTGCCTCTAAACCCCAGGGGGTTTCCAAACTTTATTGGAAGTTTTGGTGTTTGTTATGCGGTGTTGCATATACACCAGATGCCAGATAAGTGCACAAAGGAACTCAAGTAGCTGTGACTGGTGCAGTCACATGATCGCAGCCGTCAGTCAAGACGCTCCAGCTCAGATATTTTTATTTGCTGCATTTTATTGGAACTCGATTTATAGTCATGAAAGTGAAAGAATGCAGTTGTTTTTAATCACAATTAAAAAAGAAAATTGGTTAAAAAATGTAATCAGTAATTTCCTTTTTTTTTAAACATTTCAAGCGACCCCATTTGAATTCCAGGTGTACCCGTGTGGAGTTGCGACCCCAAGGTTGAAAACCACTGCTTTAACCCCTCTATGTCTTGGTGCTTCACTCTGTATATTTACATACAAAGTAGCAGAAAGGCCTCTGACATGATGTTATCATCATGTTGGTTGGTAACACGATTCCCAGTGAAGCAATGAAGAGCAATAAAAGTCTGGAGGAGACGAGCGATGATTGATCAGAGGATGGCAGTGTAATAAAGTCACACCGAACAACATGGCAGGCAGAAATCACTCTTTGATACTCTGTGGTATTTATTTTATTTTCACTCCTTTTTCTTTTTTTGTTCCTTATACTTTGCAGGCTTGGCTGACTGAAATACATGAATATGCCCAGAAGGATGTGGTCATCATGTTGCTCGGCAACAAGGTGAGCGAAAGCTTCCTTTTCGTAGTTACATAAAAAGGATCAGGAGGATAAGTGGTCCCTTAGCACATTTTTAACGCAGTCTTATCTCACTCAGACAGACATGAGGACGCTTTAAAGGCAAAAAAAAAAAAAAATGCCTGCGCTGTGCAATAGCACATGCATGAACGTGAAGTCTGAATTTTGAAGCCCATCCTCGACACGGCTGTGTCTGATTGATTTAAATATTCATGTAATGAGTAGTTTGGAAATTACACATGACTGCATCTGAGTCACAGCTACAATTCATACAGTCCGTCGTACCAAAAAAAAAAAAATTTAAATAACAAATGATCACCACATGGATTTAAGACCCACCTTGTTTACATGTCTACTCCATTTTCTTTTTCCATGCTGCTCATGATGAAGGGTGAAAATTTGTATGTCTCATTGCAAGCAGCAGTCATTGTTAATTCATCTCAAAGCTCCCTCTGGTGGTTCAGAGAGGAGTCACCCTTCTCCTGGGCCACAGATGTCACTTTGAGCAGCAGCAGCAGCAGCAGCAGCAGCAGTAGTAGTTCAGATCATTTGCTGTAGGGGCAGCAGCAGGCCTGGTGGCATCAGTCAGTGAGAGCGTTGCGTTTCTGCTGGAGGTGGACTTGGTGACATGTCATCAGTCCAGAGGAGCTGTGCCTCAGCAGTCAGATGAGATGAGGTGGAGGGAGCGACATGACGGTGCATCACTGTAACTAATAACATGCTGTGTGTGTGTGTGTGTGTGTGACCTGTGACTCGTTTTCTCTTTCCCCACACACTTCCTGCTGCCTCACAGTCAGACATGGCCGCGGAGAGAGTGGTGAAGACAGAGGAAGGGCAGAGGTTGGCCAAGGTGATATGTCATACGACGGCTCCATGTGATGATGCTCAGTGTGTTCAGTTGGAGGCTTCACTTCACTTTCTCCACTAATGGTCTCTTCCTCCTTGCAGGACTACGGCGTTCCTTTCATGGAGACGAGCGCAAAGACCGGAGTCAATGTGGAGCTGGCCTTTCTCGCTGTAGCAAAGTGAGTCTTGGTGTTCTAATGGTTCTCTGCATTAATTATTACACATGTAATGTCGATGTTAGCATAGCGATAGGAAACAGGAAGGCAGCTTAAGCTTCCGGAGAAGGATATAGTCCCCATGGAGTGATTGAAGACCAAAACACATCTAAAAGGACTTTGAAAATGTCAAGATAAAAACACTGAGTTCAAATACATCTCCTAGTGAGTTAGTGGAAAACAAAAGTCACAGCTAGAAGGATTTTGAATATGTGGACAAAAGGTGAGCTAAGGCCCAGAGTGATCCTTAAACTCATTTTATTAGGCCTTCTTAGACAATATTTTAATTTTGTGCCATCAGGACAATCAACATCAATACGAGGGGTTTGCCTGAAGTGGTCCCCGGACCAGGAGTTTGACCCCCCTCCCCCTAAATGCTAGAAATTGTTTGCTATTTTTTAATGTGTCGGTCTGACTTGTTAAAACTTCCGATTTTATGCTACATGTATGTTTTCAAAGGATCTCAAACCACTGACTGTAATTTTCATCTGTGAGTGACTGCTGCGTGAAAACACATTTCTGATTGAATGGCGGGAAATGAGAGCAGGATTAATGCACTTGCGCAGCGTGTTCCCGGGTCGGAGGAAGAGGAAAATAATGTGGTTGATGTTCTGTCTGCGTGTGATGAGTATTTTAAGTGCAGTATAAACACAAACACAATGATTCACAAAGAATTTTGATTAAATCTCAGCTGCGGTTGATGCCCCCCCACCCTCTCTTTGCTTTTTTTTTATTTCTATCTTCTAATTCATTTTTTTTATTTGTTCATCCTGTCTGTATTCAATCGCACCAAACTATTGTCTTGGCGTAACCCTCACCCTTTTTTTCCCTCTCTCCCTCCCTCTGTCTCTCCACCAGGGAGCTGAAGCACAGAGCCACACAGCAGCCCAACGAACCCAAGTTCCAGATTCATGACTACATCGAGTCCCAGAAGCAGAAGAGCGGCTGCTGCAGCACGGTGTAGCTGAGGCTGCGCGGCGGAGAAGAGAGGAAGAGAGATGCACTGAGGGAAGAGGAGCGTAGGTGGAGGACAGAGGGGCGTGTGGGGTAAATAATAATAATAATAATAATAATAAATATAGTCTGCTCTCTTTTAAAAAAAAAAGAAGAAGAAGAGACAAAGCCAACCTCAGCTGAGAAGCTGAGAACAGGAACGCCTTTTTGACTCCCTTTCTGCAGCTGTGAGCTGAATGGATCGAACGCCATCCCTTATCTGAAATGTGAATTTTTCAATCTCTTTTATGTCATGGTGTAGAAATGTTGTGGTCTTTGTGGTGACAGTCAAAGTATCAAAGTACACGTGTCGGGAGGAGAAACGATGGGGGAGAGAGTTGTTCATCTGCAGGGACAGGATGAGCAGCGGATTTATCTCTGTGCTCTTAATAAACAGTGGTTTTCTATGAACAAGTCATGTGACTGTTGGTGTGGATACAGCAGTGGGTCTGAGAACCCTGTTTGGTCTTACACTCTTCGTCATGATCATCATCATCATCATATTTGCCTCTCGAACTTCAGTCTCACAGTCAGACTCCTCTGTTTCCATCTGTGCTGCTGTTTAGATGGAATAAAAAGCCGAAGTATTGGCAGCTACTCGCCCGTCTTTTCTCTGTACCTTTAAATCATCTTCATCATCCACACATCTAGAAGATGATGGAGACAAATTCCTCATCACCAAGCTTCTTCATTTCTTCTTAGTCCACACATCATCTCCTCCTGACGTTCCTGAGTCTGGTCTAATGATGGATGTTGTCCTGGTTCGCCTGATGCTGTTTCTGTTCTCTCTCCACATTGTGTTTCTGACTTCATTGTTCACAGTTCATTGTGGCTTTTTTTTGTCTCATTTGTCCTTTCATATCTGGAAACTGGGGGTAAAATTGTCCTTGAAATATCTCCAGTTGCCTCTGACAGTTCTAATGACACGGGATATTAATACGACGGAGATTCTTTAGCTCATAGAACTCTTATGTCGTTTGATTTGTTTGTCTTGACAGTTCACACTGAAGTACACAAAGAAATAAAACTTAGATCTAAATGGATCGGTCTAAAGGTTGGTCAACGTGACATTAGTTAGTGGTCGACATAACTAGGTTAAAATGAGTCAAAAAATAACCTTTAGGAAAATACTTTATATGCGATAAAAATATATATTAAATAATTACGCCCCAGAAAGTGCACTTATAAGGAAAGCAGAAAATTAAATCAAAATAAATTATAATTTTTTTATGTATATTTATTGTATTTGTTTTTTTTATCTTTTATTGTCAGGACACTTTTTTACCTGAGACATTTTGACTGAGGTGTTTTGAGGTTTAAAATTGAAATTGAAGTTAGGATTAGAATAAGGATCTGATTAGAATCAGAGTAAGGATTAATGATCAGACATATCAGTGTATATTTTTATTAATTAAGGTTACGTTAAGGCCAGATAATGCGTTGTGAAGTATTTACGTGTTAGTGGCAGGATGCGCTGAGGTTAACACGCCACTACGTGGCAGCAGAAACCCTGTTTGGCCGTTAGCCGTGTTGTGATCGTGTTCGTGTGTTGAGTCTATAGTTGTGTTGTGTTTTCATACATCAAAACCAACAACTCCTCTGTTTATCCTGTGGGTTCAGTCAGCCGTGTTAACGCTCTTAGATCCACGGCGCTGTGCTCTGCACCTGAATGCATCTCGCTTCCTCTCCCACTCACCTCTGTGACTCACCCTCTGCAAAACTGTAAACTCTTATATCTTATTAGCTCCGTTACTGGAGTCCAATGGAGCTCAATGTTGATTTGATTTTTTATTTTATATATATATATATCTTTTCTACTCTGTGTCAAACCAAACAAAAATGCTGTGTCACTTTAAACGGCCAGGTTGGTGAGAGCAGACACATCCTGTCACTGTTTTTTTTTCTTCTCTCTTTTCTTATTTCTTACCAGCCACGAAAGCATCCTCCTCAGCAGAGATGTCAAATCATGTTTCAGCAACTTCCTCTCAAAGTTTGAAAAAAATTCTCTCTGCTGTGGCGAATAAAAATCAAATAACAAAGGGTTAAAAGTTCACTAACTTTGTGACATTATTAATTTATGAATTTACTTTTTTGTCATAATTTCAATTAAAATAATCTTAATGTATTTATCTAAATAATTTGCAACTTGTATTTATGATATTTCTCTTCAAAACATTTTCTCCGCTTTTACATTTTTAATTTTTTGTCATAATTTCAGTTTTAAAAAGCCGATTAAAATTAAAATTTTAATTTATTTATCTAAATAATCTGCAACTTCAAAACCATTTCTCCGCTTTTACATTTTTAATTTTTACTACTGCCATTTCTACGTCTGCCCTTAGAGGGCAGCACACTAAATCCCCCTGTACGTGGTACACACACACACCGACAATACAGAACATTTAATTTCTACAAGCAGGTGAACACACCTTCAAACCCTGTGTTTGTTTATTCAGGTCTATATTTGGAAACTTCTTTTGCGTATCCTGTCGTTCAGTCATGTCATCAGACCGCAGCCAGAGTCAAAGTGTGTGTTGAGAAAGTTTCAGTTTTCTGATCATCTCTGCGTGTTGTGTGTTTACTCCTCTACTTGTGCTGTGCAGTTGGCAGCCAGCTGGGCTGGTCCCTGAACGCACCTCCCTCTTCCTGAGTGGCTTTTTCTCCTTTTGTCGCCGCAGTGAAACAGAGTTAAAGCAGTTTCAGACCAGCTTCAGCTCCGGGGCCTTTTCTCTCTCTCTCTCTCTCTCTCTCTCCACCGCGGCTGTGAGGAGCACAGCGAACTTTTTTGTTGCTAGTTTGTGGTGAAGTGTACATCGGAGTTTGCCGACTAACTGGTCTCCCTGAGAGGGCGGGAGTCCCACTCATTCTCACACCCAGCCCTGCTGATCTGTGCAGAGCATCACACTGAGTACAATCCAACGTAATCGGGCAACAGGTTAAGAGTCAAGGACTGCAGAGTGAAGCGGAACCATGCCGAGCAAGAGCCAGTGTCTGCGCCCCCGGCTGTGCGCGCTGGAGAAGGGCGACAACGGCTACGGCTTCCACCTCCACGGAGAGAAAGGTAAGACCGGCCAGTTCATCCGCTTAGTGGAGACCGACAGCCCGGCGGAGACCTCGGGGCTGCGCGCCGGAGACCGTCTGGTGTTCGTGAACGGCGATGACGTGGAGAGCGAGAGCCACCAGCAGGTCGTGTACCGGATACGAGCCACCGTGGGTCTCCTGGAGCTCATCGTGGTGGACCCGGACACGGACCAGCTGCTGAAGAAACACAACCTCAAGTGTCGGAAGGAGTACGCCGCCGACGGGCTCCCAGTGCCTTTTGACGAAGAGGAGGAAGAGGAGGTAGAACAGGAGGAGGAGGAAAAGGTGGTGGAGGACGTTGTTGAGGTGGATCACGAGGACGCACGGCACAGCAAACCAGCCGAGGTGGGGATGATGATGATGATGATGGAGGAGGTGATGGAGGAGAAGCAGGAGCAGCAACACATGCAGGAGCAGAAGCAGAGGGAGATGGTGGTAGATGAGGAGGTGAAGGAGGAGGAGGTGAAGGAGGAGGAGGTGACACCACGGGAGTCCACGAAGAGCAACGGGGGGATCCACGAGCACTTGGAGAAGAAGCTGAGCATCAGTTCACAGAAGGTGAGTGTGAACCAGGGAGAGGAGTTTTCACATGCCTTTCCTCCTGCTCTGCACTTCCCTTCACAATAAGTGCCTTTCAACGGGCTGCAGGGACTCACATTACAAGTGGCAGTGAAGTGAATGCATCAGCCCGGGAGTGAGTTCCTGCAGAGAATAGGTGCTCTGTGTCGTGGTGCTGCACCCACACGCTGGTGGCTGCACATGCTGCCAAACTGAGGGCAGGGTCAGCCGGGCTGGACGTTAGCTGTGGGCGAGAGGACACAGAAAGCCTGGGTCCACTTTAGAGGTTACACAACCAGAGTAGACCAGGAGTGAGCCGTGAAACTGCTGCTCCACTCTCTGTGGACTGGTCTGTGGTTGAGTAACTCCAGAAAAAGTTGGTCAACTTCTAACAATTGGAGAAAAACAAACAAAAAACTACTTTAAAAACATTTACTTTAATGACAAAGAAAAAAAAGGTTTGTTGGGAATCAAGGCAGAGTCGAGGAGTCGATCAGTGATTTGGTCGTTGGGAACAATATCTCTTTTTTTGATCTTTTTTTTTTTTAATGATCTTACAGATCTTGCACAATTTTTGCAGAAATGACAGCAACGAGGCTTTGGCAACATTAGTCTGTGTATTTTATTATAATTTCACTTTCACGACTGCTGGTAACTTTGCCTCTAAACCTATTTTTACAGCCGTTACATTTAACAAAAAATAGAAGTAACCTTGTCTAGTTTTTTGTTGATTTACATTTTTATAGTTTTGGTTTTTTTTTTAAGAAAAAAACAAAACTATAAATGGGCATAGGTTTTGTGTTACTAAATATTATTGTGTTCCAAAATTCCAAATAGATTCTGGGTTGTTACAGTAAGTAGACAGTGACTAAATAAAGGGATGGTTATTTTTAGATGTTCAACTAAATTAAAAGAAGTCAGAGCACAGGTCATTTTGTCAAGTCAGAGCACAGTTATAGAAAATATTTAAAAAAAAAAACATATTCACATCAAGGTGGAAAAGGTTGGTTCTTCCTGACCGGGCCACAGCCTGTGAACAGGAACAGCACATATTTTTGTGTGTGTTTACATTAGAACAACACATGAATCATATTCAGACCCTCCCACATCACTGTTCACCAAATCTGAACTCTGAATATGTAAAACTGCTGCCTGAAGAAACTTCATCTCCCAGCAGTGGTTTTCAAACATACTTATTTGGAGAACTAAAGAATTTCCAAGAAGTATATTTTGTGCCAAATGAAACACAAGTTTTTTTTTTACCCCCGCTTGGTTATGTCATAAATCTTAAGTAAATATTTGCACAATATCCTGTGACCCATAAACATATACTTGGCGAGCCATGTGTGGGCCCTGCCCCGCTCTGTGGGGATGGATGTCTATAGGATTGAAGTCATTAAAAGTGACAAGCTGCACAAAAGACACAGGAAAAAACTGGTTTTCTGTGGTAAAAAAAAAAAAAAGTCTGACTGTGCCACACACAACACAACAAACAACAGGAAATGGTTTTCTGTCATTTCTTAAATTTGCCCTAAATGATGCCACGACATGAATTCTTTCTTGTCCAACTTTGATCTGGGTCTGTAAGGCATTATGGCTGCAGTGGCCGCTCGCTGCTCCGTCTGCTGTGACTGGCCTTGTTATATCTCCTGCCAGTGTGGCTGTGAAGCCACAACCATGGTTCATTAGAAAACACTTGAGAGAACAGGGTCCCCGTACCCCCCCCCCTCCACCTCCCCCTCTCCCTCCTTGTCTCGTTCTGAACATTTCAATCCCACATCCAGGGTGTTTACCCCTGAGGCAGTTTCTGTCCACGTCTGCCTCCTCTTCTCTTCTTCAGTGTTGTGCTGAAGGTGGGAAGAAGAGGAAGAAGAACAGAGATGCAGCGAAAGACCCAGCAGTCGTCCCAGCCTTTGAATTTTTACGATTCTAACGTTTTTTCTTAGAAGTCATTGTGGTGAACGTCGTTTTTTGGCTGGTTACATAATACTGTACTGTCACGTTGGTGTGTGTGAAAGTCAGCATGACTGAGCAGTCCTTCAATGACACAACGTTAAAGTAAAAACCCACCGGAAGTTTAGAAAACCTCCAAAGAGAAAGCCCAGGGATCGAACCAGTGATCTTCTCGCTGTAAGGCAAACGTACGAACCACTTTTTTCCCACCCTTGTGAACCATACCATTTCATAATATTATCAGCCATCTTGTTATTTTTTCTCAAATTTTGCCATCTTTATATATGCAATTGCAGACAATGTTAATGTTGTCACTGGCACTGAACCCACGAGTTGAAGTTTGTTTAATTTCATCTTAATTTTTTTAAATGCATCATCCCTAATCTCACCAGCCCACCGGAAGTTTAGAAAACCTCCAAAGAGAAAGCCCAGGGATCGAACCAGTGATCTTCTCGCTGTAAGGCAAACGTACGAACCACTTTTTTCCCACCCTTGTGAACCATACCATTTCATAATATTATCAGCCATCTTGTTATTCCTCTCTCTGTCTGTGTTTGCCCTCACACGAACCAAACCCATCAAACCAAAGGTCCAAACGCTGCGTCTTCTCCTTCAAAATGCCAGGCTGTCATTACACGAGCGCTGCCTCTGACATGTTGACCACCCTCCTCTCATCCCGGTCTAATGAAAGTGCTCCTGTTTGTAGCGCCTGCATGGCTTTTATGAGTTATATCTCTGGTGTTTTCAGTTGTGATGTCCTATTTATTTTTTATTTTTTTCTTCCTACGACACTCACGCTGGTGCACAGCGCTGTGGCTCTGCCGGGCCTGTGTTGTTTGCTCTGAGAATATACAGGGATTGTTCCTGTGTTTACCCTCGATACTGTCCGCACATGGACTAATGGAGCTGGGACAGCACACTTCACACTGGCACGCAAGCCACAGGAAAGTGGCGACAGAACAAACAATAAGACATTTTTACCGATACTTCACAAAAGGCACGAGCCACGGTTTGAAACCTGCAGAAAATTGGGATTTTCTAGGAATATGTCTCCGGACACAGGGAGAAATTATCCAGGGACAGAGCCGGACGCGGTGTTAGTGTGTGAGAAAGTGTGATTTGGACTGGAGGGATGCTGTTCAGCATCTGCTGCTGCTGACAGAGTCACCTCAGGGTGTGTTTTTGCTTTGAGTCTGCTGTTTCTGGAATTTTCTCCCAACATCCTGTCC